TTGTTCTGTTATTCTTCTATGTCTTTTTTCTCTAAAAGTTTTGGATATTTTTGGAACCAAACAAATGCAGGTTTAAAGGGTGAGTGTGGGAGTGAATATAATACATGTTATAATGTTAAGTTTGTTGTGTGTGAATTTGTTGTGCCAAAAAAGAGAAAATTCAATAAAATATATTGGAAAAAATAAAAAATTCAGATAATTCTGGTTAAATAAGGTGACTAATAATCTATAAGCCTATTGATCCAGCGTTTCCTGGTAATGACTCACCAGGTACTCAAAGACCAGCGTGAGGGATTTCTGCGTGTGGATGATGTCATGAAGCGTCACGATGTTGCCGTGTTTCAGGTCCTTCAGCAGAGACACTGCAGGAGAAAAGACACGTCAACCTGCAACACGTCAACCTGGAAAAGCTCAACCATGTTGCTCATTGCTGCAGCCGATTGCAGCCGATTGCAGCCGGTTGCCGCCGGTTGCAGCCGGTTGCAGCCGGTTGCAGCCGGTTGCAGCCGGTTGCTGCCGGTTGCAGCCGGTTGCAGCCGGTTGCAGCCGGTACCTTCTCTGATTGCTGTGCAGGGAGCTCCCTCTTCATGTTCCAGGCGGATCTCTTTCAGGGCAACCAGGTTGTCGGTCAGCTTGCTGCGACCTTTGTACACCGTGGCGTAGGTCCCCTGCAGACAGACAGGTGGCGCTCTGAGCACCTGGACGAGTCGGTTCCTAAACACTCAGACTCACTCTGTGAGCTCACCTCTCCCAGTTTGTCCAGCTTGATGTACGTCTCCAGTTTCCCGAACCCGATCTCCGACTGCACACAGAGAGAGACACGCTGAGCCGACGGCAGCCGGGCATGGCGGCACGGCGCGGCGGAGAGGAAACGTACCAGAGACACTCGGCGGAGCCGCCTGCTGATTGGCTGCTCGAACAGAGCCGGACCAATCACACTGAACTTCTCCAGGTAATCATCAGGAAGACGGATATCTGCCGGCAACGACAGACGCTTGTTGATGTCCTGAAACACGAGAAGAAACGGACTTCACCTGCATCCAGGTATGCTTTTTCTGTCAGAGGTCAGCAGGGGTCAGGAGGTCAAGTTTCTCATAAACTAAACGCTGAACTGCTTATGATAAGGTGTGTTTTAGGTGTTTTGTGTGTCCGGTTCTGGTTCTGGTCCGTTACCTCCGTTGAGATCTTCTTGTTCCTCAGTCGGACTCGGACCGGACTCTGGACATCATCTGAAGACGAAGGGGGATCACTTTCTCCACCAGAGTTCATCTTGATGTCTTCATGAACTATTTCTGAAAGAACCAGCAGAAGTTTCAGACTCGGCTTCAGAACCAGAGCCGCTGGGTTTCTCATGGCCGGTACCGAGTCTGGTGGCCCGATTCAGGTAGGAACTCAGGCTGCGGCCGAGACCGCGGGGCCTCCTCAAGGAGCCGCCGTACGACTGCAGCAACGAGTGGACCGAAGACGACGAGGCCCGGACCTTCAGAGCTGCTGAGGAACGAAGAGTCGGGACCTCTGGGAGAGGAGGAGGAGGAAGATGGAGTGTTAGAAGTGACGCCCTGGAAATCAGATCTAGATGTTAAGCATCTAGAATCCTGAATCTTTCTTTAGCTTCCCTTCATTCATGGGCTAAACCCAGATTATAAACTAGTCTATATATATAATCTAAGGCCCGCCATAGAGACCCGATTGGTCCCAACAGGATCCTTCGGTACCAGAATGTAATGCTGGTCCCTGAATAGGAAGTCACCTGAATCGCTGTGTGATGTCACTTCCTGCGTGTTGGAGTCGTTCAGCGCCCCGGTCCCCGCCGCTGACCCCGCCGCCGATGGCCCCGTCGCTGGCCCTGCCGCCGGCCCCGCCCCTTCCCAGAGTGACAGACAGCTGCCGTTTGAGCTTCCTGATCCGCTCCATGAGGGGGGGTCCGGGCGGCAGGGGCGGGCGAGACGCAGACGGGGGCAGAGCCGTCCACCAGGAGACACCTGGACAGGTAAACACATGGGTAAGCACCAAAACCCAGCTCAGCGACTATCGAGAACTGAGTTAGATTTACTGATATACCCTATGCAGCCCTGAAACAGGCCAGCAGGAAGTGATGTCACCAAACAGCTCAGGTGACCTGATCCTTCCCGTAAGGCTGGCCCAGGTTTTCATGGTTACTCTGTGTGAAAACACGGTCATGGACCTGTGATGCTGAGGTCAACATCTCAGCCAATCAATCAACAGCTTTCGGGATGACGACACAGATCAGTGGATGCTGCTTTCAGAAGGTCCCGAACCTGGCCGGACTCTGAGTGGACCGAGCCTGGTACCGGAAGCTTCGTGTGATTCAGTTTCAGTCAGAAATGAATATTTTTATAAATTATTCCGAAATGTTTTTATTTAGCTCCTTCATTATTAGCGGATGCTGCAGGTAAAACCTTTTCAGCTTGGAACCCAGAACCGAACCGAACCCTAATTCTGCTGCTCGCAGTTAGCCTGCTAGCCCGGCTCCGTCTACCTCCTGAACACCTGCAGCGGGCTTCGTGTTCCTACTGCGCCCCGGTTCGGTAACGGCTGCCGGTTCGGTAACGGCTGCCGGTTCGGTAACGGCTGCCGGGCCGGACGGCCAGGGAACCGGGTCCCGTGCATCCACCCTTCACCCGGTACCTACCGTGAGAGGCGGACCCGGTCCGGCCCGGGTTCTGCGTGGTTCGGTTCAGTCTGAAGGAGGTTCGGGTCGCTCCGTCTCCCAGTAATCCGCCGCCATGTTCCTACTCTCCTGCGTCATGACGTCATCTCACCCCGCCCCCTGCGTGTTTGTAAACAAACTGGTTTTCCGTCTTCAATCTAGAAACTTCATAAAGTCACCAAATGGAGGTACTAACCCTAACCCAAGATCCCTTGTTTTTCTAAGATCATGACTTCATTTTTTGCAGATTCGTTTTTCTTCAGCTTTATAAAGTTGTTGGTGAAATTCTGGTTTTGCTTTTCCAGACATGACAGATATTTTTTTTCACAACAGAATGTTTGTATAAAAAATAAAACAGTTTTCGTATTTTATTCAATTTAACTACAGAAATTATTTATGCGTCAAAAGGATCTTCACAATGATCTGTGATCATCTGTCATCATATTTGACTCAAACATGTTGATGTGACACAAGTGAACGGAAGTGACCGGCGCCCCCTGCAGGCAGGCCGGTATAAATGTTCCAGGTTGGATTCACCTTGAAACCGGACCGGACGGAAACCACTGGCTCCATATTTTATCACACAAAACCAAAGTCCAACAAACTTTATTTACAACAATCTTAACATGAGGAGTATCAATGGGAGGAGCCACCTAATGGCTCTGCCCCTTCCCAACAACAGGAAGTGTTTGAGTCCGTTTCTGTTTACTGTCCCCATAGAAAGAAGTTCATGAGTTTCACTCTGATTGGTTGGAGTTAAAGATCTTAGCCAGTAACGAGACGTTTGATTGGCTCTCCTGCTCCATGAGGCGGGCCTTATTCAGGCGTTTCTGGGTAATGGAGTCCTTCTTCTTCTTCTGGATCTCCTCTTCTGTCTGGCGCTGAGTGAAGTCCCATGTCTTCTCCTCCACCTGAGGACAACACAACGGTTTACCTGTCTGTGTCTCAGATGTTCACCTGTCTGTCAGACCCGTCTGTCTCTACCTGTTCTCTGTCTCTCTGCCGTTTCTTCCTCAGGTGTTCCAGGTGGGCGCTCTTCTCCACGTTGTTCAGGTAGAAGCTGGTCTCCCTCTTGGCCTGAGAGACTTCGGCCCGGAGTCTCTGCTGCAGCACCGTCTGCTCATAGGCCAGCCGCTCGCTCAGATGAGTCCAGTGGAACCTGTGCAGGTACTTCAGAGACAGACAGTCGTCGATTTTTCCAGTTCCAGGCAGGGAACTAGGGAGGGAACTAGGGAGGGAACTAAGGAGGGAACCAGGCGGTACCTTGATGTTCCAGAGGTCAGAGAAGAACCTCTGGCGTTTCTTGGTTCCCATAGGCGTGTTGTGCAGGGAAAGCGCCACCCGCTTCGCCACCCGCTTGTCCCTGAACTCCACCCAACCTTCGGTGAAGTCACACCTCCTGGAGCCGGACTTCTTCTTCTTCCTCCTCACCTGGCGGTCTGCGGGATCAACGCAGCCAGGTTAGGAACAACAACCAGAACCTGCTGCAGCAATAACAGGCTTTTACATCAGAGGAACAAATAATAGATGGATCTGCACCTGCATAATTCACCTGCAAGGAGAAAAATTATGACTACAGTGAGAAACTGAGAGGTTTGGTTAAAGTGGAGGCGAGGTGTTAACGAGTCAAACTTCTGCTTTCTGATTGTTAATCTGAAGTAACGTGGAGGGGAAACCTGAGCTGATCTCTGGCCTGCAGAGCAGAGTGTCGTCTACATAACCATGAAAACTGATGTTTGCAAAATGTGACCAACAGGAAGCATGAAAATATGAAAGGGGCAAAAATCACATGTGGGGAACCCCAAGGCTCAATCCTGGTGCCTTTCCTATTTAATATCTGGGTTGCCACTGGCTCAGGTTATAACGGTAAAATTAGTTACCATGGCGACGCATATGATACACAGCTCTACATTATGATGTTACCAGGTAACTGAACCATCCAATCACTGCACAGAAGCTGAGAACAGGTGGAGATGACAAAACGTTCTCCTGCTGAACAGAGGCTGAACTTATTATTATTGTGGCTGAGTGAAGAAAACCAAAAAACTGCTGAAACACTGATTTTATTTAAATCAAGACAAAGAAAACACTTGGATGGAGGATGTGATCCACAATAACTGGAACATTTATCAATATGTTAGATTATGAGTTTGACGAAATGTAATGTTGATTTCTTGTTTCATAGTTGATAACAGCAGGATGTTCTGATGATGTAAAACTGTATGTGCGTGTGTGTGTGTGTGTGTGTGTGTGTGTGTGTGTGTGTGTGTGTGTGTGTGTGTCGTACCCTCTGGCTGTAGGAAAATGCGTCCGATCTCTCCGTAGGCTGACAGCAGGTTCCTCAGGTGTTTGGGGCGGAGCCTGGGAGGAATGTGGCCCAGGTAGATGATACCTGGAACACACTTCCTCTCCTTCTTTGCCTCATCAGCAGAGGCTGAAGCTCCTTTCTGCTCACTCGCTGCTTCCTCCTCCTCTTCGCTCTGAGTGCTCATCCTCCTCTGCTCCTCTTCCTCCTCTGGACTCTGGCCTGTTGTCTTCCTCTGTTTCTCCTCTTCCTCTCGCCTCTTCATCTCTGTGATCTACAAGCAGAGGAACATGTGACTCCATGTGTCCAATCAAATCAGTGTCATTATCTCAGTAGCGCCGCCTGGTGGAAACCCTGAGTTTAACTGGACGATGCGTAAATATTCCAGACACTAAGAAACCTTTTGATTGATCTCTGATCGTCCAGAAATCATAAAATCAGTTTTTAAACTTGAACAAACAACCTTCCAGTCAACATCCAGTAAAACGTCCTGTTGAACCCTCAGCCTGCAGCGCTTCCTCCAAACTCAACTTCCTGTCGGAAACCGGAAGCTTCCGGTTTCCTCTGCTGCGGTCAGCCTGCTTCTGATCAATAATGACTGATCATCTTACCTGATCAACCAGCCGCAGGTCAAACCTTCATCAACAAACCGATGTGGACTCACATGGAACGACCGTCGCGTCCGACTGACGTCACTGAAGCTGCAACGTAGATTCCTGTTGTGTTTTCAAAATAAAATTAAGCTTAGTAAATAATTTTAATACTTAATTTCCTTTCTGTAGTAATTCTTATTGTTGTGGTTTTATATGTAATATTTAAAATATGTGAATTCAGGAAAACTGCACATTAATTAAACTCGTCAGTTTAATACAGAGATGATACATTTACTGTTGAAAAATGATTTTTAGGAATAGTTTTACTGTTTTTAATGCTTTTTACGTCTGTGAGTAATACACATTTAAACTGAAAGTTCTTCATCCTGTTCTAAAATACATACATTACTGCCAATATTGGTTTTATGAGGTTTACATTTAATTTTACATGTTTCTTCTATATTGATATTTTATTTTTTATTCATATAATTCATTCATATATTTTTTTCACTTTCTAGGATTTGGTTCAAAAAAGATTAGATAACAGAGTAACCTGGATAAAAGATAAATGTTTTTGTCTTTGTTTCCACACTTTTGTTGATTTGAGTTTTATTGTGATAACTGCGCAGTTCTTTCTATTGGTGGAGGGAAGCAGCTCAAAGTCAAACGGACACTTTAGAAAAGTCTCAATTTTTAAAGATGAGAGAAAATTATCTAATCCATGATAATTTTGTAGTAATTTAAATGTTTCACAAAAATTACATTTTTATAATTGTTATCCTTGTTAGATGTCAAACCAAATATTTTAGAAATTAAACAGATTTAAAATCAAAACCCCGGAACTCAGCAGCAAAGCGGAACTCCTGCGGCTTTTATTTTGAAAACTGGAAGCGGAAGTGCAGGGAGGAAGCGGGCTGCTGTGAACGCGGTGAGGATGAGGAGGCCCGTCTCCAGTTTGGGTTTGGGCTCCAGTTTGAAGGGGAAACTGGTGAGAGCTGGTTTCCAGTTCACCACAGACCTGCAGGACCTGAACCCGGAACAGCTGAGCGCAGGTAGAGCGGCCCAATCGCGTCATCTCATGACGTCATAATGCTTTGAGGCATCTCGTTTTTCATACTGAGGCTAAAACTGCTTTTCATCCATAATTAGGTTTTGTCAAAGTAGAAACTAAATAAAGTTTCGGTTAAATTTGTTCTGGGACAGAAATTCTGGAAAATATTTTATAGAAAATTACAATAATTTTTCTATGAAAATATTTTTCTGTTTATAGATATCAGGTTCTGATAACTGATATCTGGTTCTGGTTCTGTGATTGGTCCAGTTTATGGATAAAGACGATTTTTTTTTTCTTCATTCATTAAACCTGAAATGATCAGTGATTGGATTCACCATCAGAAAATGGATCAAATGTGATCAATCAAATTTATTACTGTCAAATATTATTTTTATGTTTTTTACTTTTTTATGCCTAACTCCAAAAAAAATTATGCAAAATATAATTAAAAAAAGACGTTTATTGTTGATGTTTTGATCATCATTATGGACATTTTTCACCTTCTTGCCTTCCACAAATCCTTCTTATAATAATCAAGCATAAAAAACAGTAAACTGTGATTAATTTACTGGAGGTTCTGGTTCTGTTTCATAGTTTCATATTTTTATTTATTAAAATTTTATAGAAAAAGATGCATTTTAATTTTAATTATGTAAATTGAACATTAAAGATGTGTTTTTACTCTAAAGTTAAAATTTTTAAATAAGATTTTCATCTTACTATTTTATTTTCAATAAGTAATTTAAAGCTATTTAATGACATCACACTGCTTTTCTAACTACAGAAATGTAAAATGTTGCTCTGATTTGTCATGTGTGCAGAGGCTGGAGTGTCCCAGCAGGAGGCGCTGGAGGCGCTGCATGCTGCCAGCGCGGGGCACGGCGGTGCCCCCGTGACGGCTCTGGAGCTCCTGCAGAGGGAGGAGGAGTTCAGGAGCATCGTGACGTTCTGCTCCCGGCTGGACGAGGCGCTCGGGGGAGGAGTTCCTGTCGGGAAAGTGACGGAGATCTGCGGAGCTCCAGGAGTTGGGAAAACACAGCTGTGGTCAGAAAACACACACCTGGTGGCGCACACACTGCGGGTCATGACAGGCGTTTCCTCTCATGACCCGGAGCGTGTCTCCGGTTCTGAACATGGCTGGAAGTAACAGCCTGGCAACAATCACCCCCACAGGCTGAGGTCACCAAGGTCACTACTGGAATAGAATAGAATTCAACTTTATTGTCGTTGCATTGTCACATGTACTGAGCAACGAAATGTCGTTTGCATCTATCCAGAAATGCAATACAGGATATAAATATTTATTAACAGTTGTACAAAGATATAAACAGAGAATAATATTGATGTGCGATAAATAAAATGTTTTGTACAGCTATGTACATATTATACAAATTACACAGATTATTCAGAATATACAGGAATATGAAGAATAGATATATATATTAGTTGATGACCTTAGGGTCGCTAAGGTCATTAATGAGCCAGCTGAGGTCACTAATTGGGTCATTGGGGTCAATAGGTGGTAGAGATCAAAGAAGAGTTTGATGAAATATTTAATTTGAATATTTCTGCACCCAACTCGTCCCTAAAGACGCCATGTTTTGGTCCCGTGTCCCAAGCTGTGATTGGCTGATAAGCAGCCAATCAGAAGCCATCGGGTTCATCCTGTGAGCCTCAGCAGGTGATGGCGGCATGAGGTCAGATCCAACGTGGGCACATCCTGTCTGCAGGCCTCTGTGCATGACCACTTCCTGCCCTGTGGGGGGCGCTGCTGCTGTATGAAACATCACCACAAACTGGACCCAGAACCGGGTTCCTCTGAAGAAACGGGTTCATTTCAAATCTGGAACCGGTTCGGAAAGAAACCTTAGACCAGTTTAAGCTGCTGGTTCTGGTTCTGACTGGTCCTGGTTCTGGTTCTGGTTCTGACTGGTTCTGGTTCTGGTTCTGACCGGTCCTGGTTCTGGTTCTGGTTCTGACCGGTCCTGGTTCTGGTTCTGACCGGTCCTGGTTCTGGTTCTGGTTCTGACCGGTCCTGGTTCTGGTTCTGACCGGTCCTGGTTCTGGTTCTGGTTCTGACCGGTCCTGGTTCTGGTTCTGGTTCTGACCGGTTCTGGTTCTGACTGGTTCTGGTTCTGGTTCTGACCGGTCCTGGTTCTGGTTCTGGTTCTGACCGGTCCTGGTTCTGGTTCTGGTTCTGACTGGTTCTGGTTCTGGTTCTGACCGGTCCTGGTTCTGGTTCTGGTTCTGACTGGTTCTGGTTCTGACTGGTTCTGGTTCTGACTGGTTCTGGTTCTGGTTCTGACGGTCCTGGTTCTGGTTCTGGTTCTGACCGGTCCTGGTTCTGGTTCTGGTTCTGACTGGTTCTGGTTCTGGTTCTGACCGGTCCTGGTTCTGGTTCTGGTTCTGACTGGTTCTGGTTCTGGTTCTGACCGGTCCTGGTTCTGGTTCTGGTTCTGACCGGTCCTGGTTCTGGTTCTGGTTCTGACTGGTTCTGGTTCTGGTTCTGACCGGTCCTGGTTCTGGTTCTGGTTCTGACTGGTTCTGGTTCTGACCGGTCCTGGTTCTGGTTCTGACTGGTTCTGGTTCTGGTTCTGACCGGTCCTGGTTCTGGTTCTGGTTCTGACCGGTCCTGGTTCTGGTTCTGGTTCTGACTGGTTCTGGTTCTGGTTCTGACCGGTCCTGGTTCTGGTTCTGGTTCTGACTGGTTCTGGTTCTGACTGGTTCTGGTTCTGACTGGTTCTGGTTCTGGTTCTGACCGGTCCTGGTTCTGGTTCTGGTTCTGACCGGTCCTGGTTCTGGTTCTGGTTCTGACTGGTTCTGGTTCTGGTTCTGACCGGTCCTGGTTCTGGTTCTGGTTCTGACTGGTTCTGGTTCTGGTTCTGACCGGTCCTGGTTCTGGTTCTGGTTCTGACCGGTCCTGGTTCTGGTTCTGGTTCTGACTGGTTCTGGTTCTGGTTCTGACCGGTCCTGGTTCTGGTTCTGGTTCTGACTGGTTCTGGTTCTGACCGGTCCTGGTTCTGGTTCTGACTGGTTCTGGTTCTGGTTCTGACCGGTCCTGGTTCTGGTTCTGGTTCTGACCGGTCCTGGTTCTGGTTCTGGTTCTGACTGGTTCTGGTTCTGGTTCTGACCGGTCCTGGTTCTGGTTCTGGTTCTGACTGGTTCTGGTTCTGGTTCTGACCGGTCCTGGTTCTGGTTCTGGTTCTGACCGGTCCTGGTTCTGGTTCTGGTTCTGACTGGTTCTGGTTCTGGTTCTGACCGGTCCTGGTTCTGGTTCTGGTTCTGACCGGTCCTGGTTCTGGTTCTGGTTCTGACCGGTCCTGGTTCTGGTTCTGGTTCTGGTTCTGACCGGTTCTGGTTCTGGTTCTGCCCAGCCTGCAGCTGGCCGTGGACGTCCAGGTGCCGGCGGTGTTCGGCGGTCTCGGGGGTCAGGTTCTGTTCGTGGACACGGAGGGCGGGTTCCGGGTCCAGAGGCTGGTGGACCTGGCCGGCGCCGCCGTGCGCCGCTTCTCGCTGCTGGCTGAGGATGAGGAGCAGCGTGTTGCCATGGCGACCTTCACCGTGGAGACCATCCTGTCAAACGTCTTCCTGGGTTTCCTGGTTCTGCTGGTTCTGGTTCTGATGGACCCGGTTCCGGCCTCCGCCTTCGGGAGATGCTGTTGCCGTGGTAACCCTGCGGCAGCAGGGCTCTGATTGGCTGTGTTCTCAGGTGCGTTGCCGTGACTACGTGGAGCTGCTGGCCGAGCTGCGTCTGCTGCCCGACTTCCTGTCGGACCGGCCGAGGCTCCGCCTCCTCGTCATCGACAGCGTGGCGTTCCCGTTCTTGCGTCTCCATGACGATCTGTCCCGGAGGACACGCCTCCTCCAGGGCGTCGGCCTGCGGCTTATCGCCGCGGCGACGGGCCACAACATCGCCGTGGTGACCACCAACCACACCACCACGCGGCTGCGCGGCGGCCGGGCGCGGCCGGCGCCGGCGCTCGGCGACATCTGGGGCCACGCCCCCTCCGTCAGGCTCCTCCTCCGGTGGGAGGAGTCACGGCGCATGGCCTCCATCCTCAAATCCCCGGGTCACATGGACTCCAGCGTCCAATACCAGATCACCTGCCAGGGCTTCAGGGACGCGGACCAATCAGAACAGCCGCAGAGCAAAAGGCCTCGAACTCAGACCGACCAATCGGCTTCCAGCAGGAAAAACACTGTGACATGATTAAAGCCAATCGGAGATGAGAGCCTGAAGTTCAGTCTGCACTTCTGCTCTCTGCTGGCTTCTCATTGGCTGAGAGGAACTCACAGGTGCTCCTGTGCAGGTGTGTTTGCTGCTTTTACCTGCGCTGCTCTAGTTTAGCCCCGCCCCCAGCGTGATGTCACTCAGGTGAGGCTGCAGCAAATCCAGACAAAGAAACTTTAACCAGATCCTGGAGCTGCAGGCGTCCAGGTGTGTCCAGCTGCTCCTCCTGGCCTCCATCACCTGTCTGTCACCTTGGAAACTGAGTTTCTCTGGATGTTTGGTTGAAGAATAAATCCACGATTTTCTACAAATCTCCTGGTTTAACTCACTGGACGCAGATTTCTTATTGTTTTTTTATAAAGTGAAAAGTCTTTGTTAAGGGAATGTATATTTGCTTTATTAAAGGAAGAAAATGATTTTCTGTTTTCATAATAGTAATGACACTTTTGATTTGAGACTCACTCACCTTACAGAAGGCAAAAATAGTAAATCGGTGAACGTGTTCAGTATTTAATTGTGTTTTCAGCAATAAAAACATGATTTGAGTAACTTCATGTTCAACAAATAAATAAAAATCTGGGAAAATAAATTCTGCTTTTGGGAGGATCTGATTCTGCTTACAATGAAATTAAAAATATACTTATTAATAAAAGAGAAATATTTTTGATTTATTTTCTGATGCGGCTCAAAGACTGATGAAGGTCTAAAAACAAACATCTGAATGTTACTTCTGGGGTCAGAGGTCAAGCTTTTGTTTAACATTAAAAATGATCAAACAGCCTGTTTATGGTTTATGAGCTGAAAATAGTTTTATTGAACCTAATAAAACCAAAAGCTGTAAAAACATTAATTATTCTCTATTGGTAATATATATAAATTAATCAATAATAATAAACACAGATTTTTACTATAAATAAATTTCAGCAGCCTGGTGGTCCAAAGAGCCGGTTCTGTTCGTCAGCAGATCCGGTTCTCCTGAAAGAGTTCCCGGAAATGTCTGAGGTTCTGTTGACTGCTGGTTCAGGTTCTGTCAGAGAGTCAAGCCCCGCCCCTCCGACAATTTCCATAATTAATGAACAATCATTCCCACGTGACGTCACCAGAGTCCTCAGGAGCAGGAATCCTGCAGCTCCGCAGACCGAGCGGGTCCTCACAGTGGACACACACTCATAGACAGAGACACACACTCATAGACAGAGACACACACTCATAGACAGACACACACACACACTCATAGACAGAGACACACACATAGACAGAGACACACACACACTCATAGACAGACACACACACTCATAGACAGAGACACACACTCATAGACAGAGACACACACACACTCATAGACAGAGACACACACTCATAGACAGAGACACACACTCATAGACAGACACACACACACACACACTCATAGACAGAGACACACACATAGACAGAGACACACACACACTCATAGACAGAGACACACACTCATAGACAGAGACACACACTCATAGACAGAGACACACACATAGACAGAGACACACACCACTCATAGACAGAGACACACACACACATAGACAGACACACACACACACTCATAGACAGAGACACACACATAGACAGAGACACACACACACTCATAGACAGAGACACACACACTCATAGACAGAGACACACACTCATAGACAGAGACACACACACACACTCATAGACAGAGACACACACACACTCATAGACAGAGACACACACTCATAGACAGAGACACACACACACTCATAGACAGAGACACACACACTCATAGACAGAGACACACACACACACTCATAGACAGAGACACACACACACACATATAGACAGAGACACACACTCATAGACAGAGACACACACACACACTCATAGACAGAGACACACACTCATAGACAGAGACACACACTCATAGACAGAGACACACACACACACTCATAGACAGAGACACACACACATAGACAGAGACACACACACACACACACACACATAGACAGAGACACACACACACACACACACACATATAGACAGAGACACACACACACACACAGACAGGAGTCCAGTCCTCCGCCGGCTGCCGCAGCACCAGCCGGACTCTTCCTCTCTCCGCAGGCTGATGCGGGTCTCTGTGCGGACCGAACGGAGCGGCTCAGTTCACAGGTATTTAACTTTCTTTTTCTCACCTGTTGGCCCATAAAGTGGATCAAACTGCAGGAACCAGTTCATTAAATCAGAACTTTATTGATAGCTCAAGTTTTTATTTTCTCAGATTTCCAGTTTTCTGATCAAAGATCAAATTTATTCAAATGAATGCCTGTTTTTTAAAACCAGTTGGTAAAAAATGATTAATCACTGCAGCTGTTCGATGCTGATTGGTGAGTGATCAGAGGACAGAAATCACCTTTTATTATTTTAGTTTTATTTTGGGGGCTGGTGAATATTCATCATAGAGCTAAATATTTAGATGATATGCAAATTAATCTGAAATAACCACAAGTAGACTACCAAAATAAAAGCTGGCTCTCAACTTATGTCTGATCACATAAGAAGTCATGTGACCCAATACGGATCATGTGTCTCGTATCGGATCATGTGACCCAATACGGATCATGTGACTCAATACGGATCATGTGACTCGTATCGGATCATGTGGATCGTATCGGATCATGTGACCCAATACGGATCATGTGACCCAATACGGATCATGTGACTCGTATCGGATCATGTGGATCGTATCGGATCATGTGACCCAATACGGATCATGTGACTCGTATCGGATCATGTGGATCGTATCGGATCATGTGACCCAATACGGATCATGTGACTCGTATCGGATCATGTGGATCGTATCGGATCATGTGACTCGTATCGGATCATGTGGATCGTATCGGATCATGTGACTCGTATCGGATCATGTGGATCGTATCGGATCATGTGACTCGTATCGGATCATGTGGATCGTATCGGATCATGTGTCTCGTATCGGATCATGTGACCCAATACGGATCATGTGACTCGTATCGGATCATGTGAGTCGATACACATCATGTGATGCGGGTCATTGTTGACTGGTTGACGTGTCCCCAGATCTCGTGTCAGGATGAACGGTCCATGCTGAACATCACTCAGCAGACATCATCAGGCCCCACCCCTTTTCCCTCTGTCTTGATGTTGTTGCCGCCAGTCGCCCCGGCGCCCTTTGGCCCCGCTTCCTGCTGCCTCTCTGGATCTGGACTGCCGACCCGGCGGGCCAGGTGCGAGCCTCGCACCAGCACTTCCATCACCACCATCAAGCTCCCTGGTGACATTACTCTGGGGGGGCTGTTCCCCATCCATGCCGCGGCCCCACGGCGTGAACTGTGGCGAGCTGAAGAAGGAGAAGGGCATCCACCGTATGGAGGCCATGTTGTACGCCCTGGACCAGATCAACGGCGACCCCGAGCTGCTGCCCAACATCACACTGGGTGCCCGCATCCTGGACACCTGCTCCAGGGACACCTACGCCCTGGAGCAGTCCCTCACCTTCGTCCAGGCGCTTATCCAGAAGGACACGTCTGACATCCGCTGCTCCAACGGCGAGCCGCCCCTCATCCGCAAACCGGAGAGGGTGGTGGGTGTGATCGGAGCGTCGGCCAGCTCCGTGTCCATCATGGTGGCCAACATCCTGCGCCTGTTTGAGGTGAGAGACGGAGATGGGTTAGAGAGACAGGTGAGGAGCAGGTAGAGGAAACGAGACTAAAGGTGAGACAGAGTGAAGCATCAGTTTCAGTTGGAGATCAGCATCATGAAGACTTTCTACCAAAGATGTCGAATCTGATGAAGTGGATGGAATGACTTCCTCCATCAAATGAATAATAAAGATGCAATGGAGGACAGTGGAAACCTGTACAACCTACTGGGACCTAGTGGAGTACAATAATACCCAGTTAAAACCAGCAGAACCCAATGGACTACACTAGCATTAGTGGAACCCAGTAGGACCCAGTAACATCATAAAACCCAGTAGAAACTACTAAATAAGGGAATATTTTTTTTTCATATGAAGCTCTGCAGCTCATGCTTCCTCCTCTTCCTCAGATGATGATGATGAGGTTGTTGTCATAATGAGGTCTGCTCGTTAAGAAGGTCTCTGTTAATCACTCTCGGTGTTAATGTGATTGAAGAGCTGCCCCACTTTGAGCTCGGCTGTTACACAACATTAATCTGTCTGAGTGGTTCTGGTCTCTGCTGCTCCACCATGTCGCTTCTGAACTGGGTTCTGGTTCTGGTTCTGAATTCCAGATTCCTCAGGTGAGCTATGCATCCACTGCTCCAGAGCTCAGCGACAACAATCGCTACGACTTTCTTCTCCCGGGTTGTTCCGCCAGACTCGTACCAGGCCCAGGCCATGCTGGATATCGTCAAGGCTCTGGGTTGGAACTACGTCTCCACACTGGCGTCCGAGGGCAACTACGGCGAGAGCGGCGTTGAGGCCTTCATGCAGATCTCTCGAGAGGCCGGTAAGGAAGCTCCTATCTCACCCATGTCTGACCCATCTATCACCTGACTCTGTCTCTCCACCAGGTGGTGTGTGCATTGCCCAGTCGGTCAAGATCCCCCGAGAGCCAGCTGAGGGCGAGTTCGATAAGATCATCAAACGTTTGATGGAGACAAGTAATGCCAGAGGAGTCATCATCTTCGCCAACGAGGACGACATCAAGTAATCCACCAGATACTCACCTCTTCCCTGGACACCTTGTTGGTGTGGTCATGAGACTTGAGGCTGATTCTTCTTTCCCTCTGGTAGGCGTGTTCTTGAAGCGGCGAGGCAGGCTAACCTAACGGGCCACTTCCTGTTTGTTGGGTCAGACAGCTGGGGGGCCAAGAGCTCGCCAATCGCCGAGCTGGAAGACGTTGCAGAAGGCGCTGTCACCATCCTGCCCAAGCGGACCTCGATTGACGGTAGAACTGGATGCACTTGACCAAGCATTACCTGGTTCTGGAGGATTCTAGAGCAGTTTCTCAATTCCAGTCCTCAAAGTCCACTGTCCTGTATGTTGTAGGTGTTTCCCTTCGGCAAAACACTCTTGATTTGACTAAATGGGTGACAAGCAGCCTTCTGCAGCACTTGAGGAGGTCATGCAATCATTTGAATGAGATGTTCTGGAGCAGAGACACAACTACAACATGCAGGCAGTGAGAACTGAGGACCGGAATTGAGATCGAGAGGGCTTTAGAGGGTTCTCATCTGTTGTGTTTGTTGTACAGGCTTTGATCAGTACTTCATGTCTCGATCCCTGGAGAACAACCGCAGGAACATCTGGTTCGCCGAGTTCTGGGAGGACGACTTCAGGTGCAAATTGACCCGTCCCGGAATCAAACTGGACTCAGACAAGAAGAAGTGCACAGGTACTCATAGAGACAGATTTGTGAAGGTCTCAGGTGTTCCCTTATTATGGTGCATCTGTCTGCAGGAGGCGAGCGAATTGGTCAGGACTCGTCCTATGAGCAGGAGGGAAGGTTCAGTTTGTGATTGATGCCGTTTATGCCGTTGCCTACGCTCTGCACAACATGCACCAAGACCTCTGTCCAACAGCCATGGGGTCT